ACAGTGACATTGGATTTGTTAATTGTATTAGATTATATGCCTTGGATAGGGAACTTTGTTTACCATGACCATCATGTCCAATCTCATTTCATGACCCTCATTCATTGATTGTGCATGGTTTATATATGGACAAGTTTTTCTCGAGTTTTTTCAGGGTTATGCTAAATTACAATTTTATATGAAAGTACAATGAAACATAGCATCTTGTAAGTTTTCATGTATAGAATAATAATTTATTTGACTTATTTGAATATTTTATTTAATTTTAATGCATCCTGTGTATGCATGTTTAACCAATTTGTTTGTCAGACTACATTGCCCTTGAATAGAAATGATCTTTAAGGTAAGTTTTAGACCAAGACTTTAGTCAATATTGACATTTTGTAATTTTTTTGAGTCATATTGTGCCTTTAAGCACGAGTATTATCTAATTTTTTTATATCGTATTCATTCCAAACTCATTATCCAAATATACCCATTGTCTGAAACCCTTGGCATTAGTCCTCTTGGTCCCATCCGGCTTTCAGCACAAGCTTTCCTCAGTCCTACAAGTTTGCCCTATGTCCCTATCGTCTTGCATACAGAATTTCCATGCTTAATATTATTTGGACCAAATTTATTGATAAAATAAAATGATTAAATGTATTGCCATGTAAATGTTCCATGATCAACCTACATCATCCAAAGACAACATTAAACTTTCAAGCCAAGTGTGCAACCCTGTTATTTTGAGTTTGAAACAAGCATCGCGTATATTTGACCTCGTTATTATAACATAAACTCTAAATATGTATAATTTCACTAATTTTTTTTTCTTTTGTATTAGACAAACCGTGTAAAATTCAAACTTTGATATAAGGGTTAATTGTATTGGAGGTCCTCAAAATATGAAATTTATCTCATTTTAATCCATAATATTTCAATTGTATCATTTTGGTCCCTAAAATATTGAATATGTTTTTATATGGTCTTTCAAGTAGACAACATTCAGATTACTAGCAATTTTTTTTTTCATAAACTTGTCACGTAATAATTAAATATAAACAAAAAATAATTTTGATAGCTCTTAGACAAAATTTGGGTAGCTCTTAATAAAAAAATGTATAATATGAGTAACTTTTGACCAAAATTTGGATCGCTCATGATAAAAAATGTGATATTTAGATAACTATTTAACTAATTTGAGTAAAAATTTAATCAAAAGTTATCCAAATCATTTTTTTGTCCGTATTTAAGTATCACGTAATAAATTTATGATAAAAAGTCGTTAACAACCTGAACGCTATCTACTTGAGGAACCATATAGAATCATATTCAATACTTCAGAGATTAAAATAATGTAATTAAAATATTAGAGATCAAAATAAAATAAACTATATATTTTGGGACCTACCGTGCAATTAATCCATGATATAAATATAGTAACTTCTAACGATCTTTCCATTTGAACTATTCGAACGAGTTGTGATCTGAATGCAAACCCATCACAGTCTGCAGATCCAGGTTAGCAGAAACCTTGATTGCGGTTCAAAAATTAATGTCAATTAACAGTACATGGTCCTACTAACCTACAAAAGGAAAAGAGATATACATCAACAGCTTTGCAAGAAGTCCAGTCTTTGTTTAATTAGGTGAAGACGGATTCGGATGATTTTGAGTTGGAAAGCTACGCAGTAATCTTTTCAATGGGAAGTGCTAACACAACACGTCACGTTTAGCATAAAGCTGTCTCTGTGTGTGTGTGAGAGAGACCGAGAGAGGGAGGGAGGGAGAGAGAGAGACTTACATATGAAGAGCATGGCTGAAGAAGAAGCCTCACCTAAAGGGTTGCAGAAAAAGACTAATGGGAGTGCAACAAAGTACCAAGAAATGAATTGAAATTCCAACAACAACGACTAGCACTACTAGCGATGGATACTTTTACTATTGATGTTACTGTATCATATGAAGAGTGGTGGAAAAGTTTTCCGGGAAAGTTGAAGTGGAAGTTCTTTACGGCCGATGGAAGCAAGCGAAAACATTTGGTATTTCCGTAAGAGGGAAAAATTCTGGTAGCTCAGAGTTCATTTGTATGTAGGCTTCTTCGCGGATCGTAATTCGAATTGGATCTGCGTCTATTGGAATCCAAATAGAAAATCTATTATCAAATTTTTATAAATAAATATTAGTCCATATCCCACCAGGGCTATTTGTTTCATATAAATAGACATGCCAATATATTGAATTTCAGTTCGACTCTGGTTCGAATTTGTTTAATTGGACATGGTCTAATGTTTTTCTTCCGTTTAGTTGAATTTAATCCGAATCTATTTAGATATATGCAAATTCAATCCGATAAAATCCGATCCAATTAATATTATATATATATATATATTATTTATTGAAATTTATGTAATACAATTTTAAAGATAGTTCAAGTGGTAACATAGATGAGTTATAAACTCAAATATTTTGAGTTATAATTTTGGTAACCTCTTATGACTACGTCACGAGAGATTTATCCTTTATAAATACCCTAGTCTAGGGTAAGTAATTCTAGACACGATTCGTGTAATTGGGAAGAACTCGACACGGATTTAGTGAGTTTAGATGTAGTCTTTAACGAGTTTGGGTGGTTAAGGGGTTAATTTGACAGACCCGTGAAATAAATGAATCAGTTTCGTATTTAACTCATAAACTCGTTTCAATCTGTTTAACCCGTTATTAGTGGTACTATAATTTTTTTTTAAAAAAGTTAGGTCTCTTAACCTCTGTCTCATCTTACACCTCTCATCTTTTTAGATTCATTCAAATTTAGTAGTCATTTAATGTTTATTTTTTGTCTTTATTTGTTATTGTTAGTAAACATGTCAAACATATGTAATGTGTAGCAAGTTGATTATTTTTCGTATGGACTCGAAATATTCTAGCCTATTTTCTTATTTAGCGGGTGACACACATGTTGTATTGAGTAACCGTCTAAAAAAACAATTCGTGTATGAGTGTGATAGTTGGACTCGTTTATATAAACGAATGAGAATATGAATAGAAGGTTTTTTGACACAAAGCTCGTTCCACTCGACACGATTGCTAGGCCTATCCTAATCCAAACCTGCCTTTGACGAAACCGAAACAGAATTAGGCGAGGTGTGACTCAAACACCCTTGACTATTGAACAATTTTTTTTTTGGTGTAATACCATTATAGAGCGAATCGAATTATCGGATTCGGATATCCAATTTATAATCGGATTCAGACATGAATTAATATTAAACAAATAGCCCCGACACTACTAATCGTTGAACCAAATTTTTTTTTTGATGTAATACCATTATAGAGCGGATCGAATTATCAGAACCAAATATAGTTTTTTAAATCAATTATTTATATGGTAAAATACCATAATTCTTAAATTACATCCTCAAATATCATAAAATAACCGCAATGTGACCGAAATACAGTTGATCATTTCATCTAAAAATACAGTTTATTGTCATTTATTACATCAAAAAATGAATTACAATTTGACTCGGAGCTATATTGCTATTTTTTTATGGAGTAATGCTAAATAGATTTAAAAATTAGACTTGATAATCTCAACCATTGAATATGTAGTGGGTCCCAATAAATGTTGGGACCTACAGTGATATCAATGGTTAACATTATCAAGTCTAATTTTTAAATTTACTTATTAAGTTCACGTAGCATTGCTCTTTTTTATAACATTCAAGATGCAATTTAAAAGTAATTATATTTCGAAATGCCAAATTGAAAATTTGATGATCTTTTATGATACAAAATGCAATTAATCCATTAGTATAATTTTTTTCTTGAACGAACCACAAATGTTGTCGTGCTAAAAAAAAATATTTTCTGGTGAGACAATCTTAACCCCATCTTTTACAAATGGCAATCTTACCCAATGTTTTTCGAATTTCAACTAATTAATTGAATTTTCAGAAAATTGCTGTGGTATTGAAGGAGTGATACTCAATTTTGAAGATCGATTTTAGGGGGAATTAAAGTGAATTAGTCTATGCAACTAGGTCTATCAATGGATTGAAATTTGATCAAAATTCGATTAGTTGGATATAGATTGATATTTTTTATTGATAATTCGAATTCGAATAAAATATCTTGTATTTTTACAGATTCGGATTTAGATATACATACACCTAATCCGATCCAAATTATTTATATAGTATATAAATATTAAAGAAATTAAGTGATTGTTTAAAAAAAATTAGTTAAAATTTAGTTAATTATGTTATTTAGATTAGATCAAATTTTGGATTGTTAACAGATTCGAATATGAACTACAAAAATAAAATTTATCGGCTTATCAGATCAAATTTAGATTGAACTTGTAAAATTGAATTCGAATTTGGATCAATTAATTGATCCAAACCCGATCCGTTAATAGACCCATTCGCAACCTTGGAATAAATTGCGGTTAAAAAACACACACACACACACACATTACACATACAAAAAGAAAAATACAATGGTAGGTCGAAAATTTGATTACCTGTAAGGGGCATAATGGTCATGTGCACTTTAAAGTAGCCCCTCCATAATACCGCCAGATTCCATTTCAAAAAATTTCAAAAAGTTCTCTCTCTCTCTCTACAACGCTCTGGACTGAGATCTCCCCCACCCTTTTGCTCCTCTTTCAAACCCTAACCTCAATCAGTCACGCATTTACCAAATTACCAATTAGGCTTAGAGAGAGAAACATCATAGAAGACTGACCAGAGGCAGAGAGTGTGTGTGTGAGAGAGAGGGAGATTTGATTTATCTTCACTCGTTCTTTTTTTTTTTTTTTTCAAGAATTAATTTTTAATATTTGGATTAAAGAACTCCTTTTGCTGTCTGAGAGTTTCGTCTTCTTTGTCTTCAGTTCCTGCAATTCAAAGCAACGGCTCTGATTGTAATCGATAGCTTTTATTACAATTCAAGGCCCCACAGAAACTTGCCCTACCCTAGTACTCCCATCTCTTTCACTTCATACATTCTTCAAAATGGCTTCCAAGAACCAGAACAAGCCTCCCTTACCCAACGCTGCCACACCTTCAAGCCCTTCAAATGTAAGGTTTAGTGTACTCTAATCTCCCTTTTGTTCTCCCCATTTATTCAAATCTCCACCTGGGTTTCTTTTTGATTTTGGTTCCTGTCACTTCTTGGTATAGATATTGTGTATATGTTTTCGATTTTTGGATTTGCTGTTTATTTCGAAAAAGGTTCTGCCTATTGACCAAATTATATGGGGTTTTATTGCTTATGTTGTACAAGTTTCTGGGTATTCCTTGTTATAGTCCTGACTGTTATCTCTTTTAGGCTGAAGATTCTAATCCCTTTTGAAATTTCGTGGGTTTTGCTGTTTTCTCAGACCAAGTATAGTGTAGATGAGGTTTCCGTAGATAAGAGGCGAAAGATCGGGGTTGGAAAAATGGTGGGTTCAACCAACACTTCCAGAACCCGGCAAGCGTTTACAGTTGTGAATGGGGGTCAAGATCTGGCTGCAGTAGTAAGGCCAGCTAGCAATGCGGGCTCGGATTGTGGCTCATTGGAGTTTACCAAAGAGGATGTTGAGGCCTTACTGAGTGAAAAGATGAAAACGAAGAATAAATACAACATTAAGGTTAGTGTGTTAGTCCAGTTTTTTAAGTCAGTTATTTTGAAATTTATTTAGATGTGGGAGGTTTTCAGTTTTCCTTTTAGTTTTGGTAAAAATTATTCCATGTTCTCTTGTTATATTTGCTTAAATGTTGGGACTGTTGAAATTGTTTTAGGAAAAATGTGACCTTATGACGGAGTATATAAAGAAACTCAGGCAATGTATTAGATGGTTTCAAGAGAATGAAGGAAATTTCCTCTCAGAACAAGAGAAGCTTAAGAATATGTTGGATTCAGCGGAAAAGAAATGCACTGACATCGGTATAACTGGTTCCTCCTATTTTACTTAAGCACCACAAATATCTGAATTGTTCACTAATGCAGTTATGTATGGTCTGATTTTAGAGGTTCTAATGAAAGCAAAGGAAGAGGAATTGAATTCAATTGTTATGGAGTTGAGAAAAAAATGTTCCTCTTTACAAGAAAAATTTGCGAAGGAAGAGACAGATAAGCTGGTAAGACTGGTAGAAGAATACATCTGACTTGTAGAATATTGCAGAATATTGAGTCAAGTGTTGCTAGTTAATATGTCAACTATTGTATGGAAATTAAATATTGGGACGTAATTATCAGGCTGCATTAGATAATTTTTCAAGAGAGAAAGAGGCTAGAGTTGCTACAGAGAGGCTGCAGGCTTCCCTTTCAGATGAGCTCGGGAGAGCTCAACTAGAAAACTCAAGTGCTAATCAGAAGGTAACCGAAGAAAATTTTGGGTTTTTAGACTATTTCACAAATAAATCAACTGTTCCTACCTCTTCCTCTGGTTTTTCTGATTATGCAGATTCAATCGCTCAATGACATGTACAAACGATTGCAAGAGTACAACACGAGTTTGCAGCAGTACAACAGCAAACTTCAGTCGGAGCTTGCTACAGCCAATGAGGCCCTTAAGCGTGTGGAGAAAGAGAAAGCTGCTGTCGTGGAGAACCTTAGCGCTCTACGGGGTCATTATACTTCCCTGCAGGATCAGCATGCTTCTTGTAGAGTGAGTCTCCCCTTCTTGGTTTGAAATTCCAATTCAATCAATATATGATTTTGTTGACCAGTGAGGTTATATATATGTACAATTGATAGACTTTTTTGTTGGTTTGAATTCTTGTTTTAAACTTTCTAATCTGCATGAAATTAGGAAAAACAGATAGGAGTAAAAGTAAAAAATCAATGGAAGTGACATAGATGTAAGTAAGGAATAATACATGCTTTTTACAAAAGGAAATAACTTAGCAGTGTTACCCTATTCGAATTTTGCCGCTCTTCCTTGGTTCACTATCTGGCTTTGCTCTCTCTTAATTCCTATCTGATGTGGCTCTCTCTTTGTTACAATCTGATGTGGAATCTTTCCTATCAGAACCTTGTAATGATACATTCAGGTCTAGAAAAACAGTTTGGTTGGGCAGTAGAACATCTACATGACAGATTATATGATGTTTGCTTTAGTTTAGCTGAGCTGTTTAGTAAAATTTATCATATTATTAGAAATTCTCTTAGTTTCTTGAACATAGTATTACTCAACATTCGTAAAAAAAGGGTTTTTTTTCTAAACTTGATGGTGTTACAATGGAGTTATGGATTGGTCTATCTATGCCACATTCCTATTGTTATTATTTTTGTCCATGAGGTATTTCTATGTTTTGTTCATGGCTGACTTTATCAGGTTTCCCAAGATGAGGCCATGAAACAAAAAGAACTTCTAGTAAATGAAGTTGGATGCCTGAGGGGTGAATTACAACAAGTAAGAGATGATCGTGACCGTCAATTGTCACAAGTCCAGGCTTTGACTGCTGAAGCTGTAAAATTTAAGGAGTGGACTGAAAAATCATGTGCTGAGTTGGATAGCCAGACTTTAAAGTCATATGAGCTGGAGGTCTGTTTATGTACAGTTTCCTTTCTTCCTCAAATATAGCCTAGGCCTTTGTCAATGATTCTTTGATTTCGATTTATTTTTACAGGTAAAATGTTTCTCACAAAGTGAACATATAAGGAAACTGCAGGAACATCTTGCTGCCGCAGAAAAGAAAGTGCAGGTATCATGATCTAGCGTTCTGTATTTTAGTGAAGCTGAACCATTCCATGTGACATACTTTACCGGATGGATTCATGCACCATTTGCCTTCTGGACTTGAGATTTTGCTTAGCTCATCATTAACATTTTTCAGAAGGAGAATGCACTATTCATCTTTGGTATTACCTTGCTAGATGTCCGATTTATCCACGCTGGAGACAAGAACAGAATTTGAAGAGCAAAAAGAACTCACGTTTGAGTTACAAAGCCGTCTTGCAGAAGCAGAACAGAAAATTATAGAAGGAGAGAAACTCCGCAAAAAGTTACATAATACTATACTGGTAATATTTTTGCATTTACTTTTTTGTTTTTATTTTATTGTGTGTGGTCGGGGAGGGGGTGGGCAAAACTAATACACTGATGAACTCGCTGTCACTACAGGAACTAAAAGGGAACATCCGGGTTTTCTGCAGAGTGCGACCTCTGTTGTCTGATGAAGGTTCTCTCACAGAGACAAAGGTTGTCTCCTACCCGACAACAACTGAAGCACTTGGACGGGGCATTGACTTGATGCAAAATGGTAAATTTTTCCTGCAAAATCTGCCAAAGAAGTTTATTTTAAATTGAATATTTGTTTTTCAAATCACGATTTCAGTTTAAATCTGATTTCATGTCATATTTCCTTTGTCATCAAGGCCAAAAACATTGCTTCACGTTTGACAAAGTATTTTTGCCCGATGCTGCACAAGCAGATGTTTTTGTAGAAATATCACAGCTTGTACAGAGTGCTCTGGATGGTTATAAGGTGATTTATTTTTGTTATTTGAACTGTTTCCTTTCGAATACCTATCACATCAACATAGGTGAAGTTATGCATTTACCTTTAGATGACGAGGTTGAAATTTTTTGTCATGGTCCTCAACTTGATGTAGCTGACTTTTTTTCAGCAGATACACTTTCACCCGTGTCTATGTAGAAAGATGGCATATATTTTATATTAAGCATTTTCAAAGCATGTGTTGTTGCTACACTGGTAAAATGACGTTCAGGCCGGTATCTTTTTCCTTTTTTGTAGAATATGCAACATGTGAGTACAAAAAGATGTTAAATTTGGTTTGATCGTTGTCTCAATTCATTCACAGTCGGTTTTGTTTTTATGTAATAATCGTGGGCACTAAAATTCGACTCCCTGTAATATTGTTATCCTCTGTATAGTTCATGCACTTAATGGTCATCAAGTGTTAAAACACTCTGCTTTTTACCATATACGCAGTGATAGGATTGCTTAGTATACTTTAAGAATTAGTCAGCTTGCAGAAAATGATGGTGGTTTTTGCATTTCAGGTTTGCATTTTTGCTTATGGTCAAACTGGTTCGGGTAAAACCTATACAATGATGGGCAAGCCAGGAAGTCCTGATAAGAAAGGGCTGATACCACGCTCATTAGAACAGATATTTGAGACTAGACAAGCTCTTCAACCCCAAGGATGGAAATATGAAATGCAGGTGAGAACTGAAATAGATTAAAAGCCTGAACTGGGTTAGTATGCTGTTTTTTTGGGGCTATGGATGATCGTACCTTATATGCTTTCTGACCATGTATTTTACAAACATTTCTAGGTGTCCATGTTGGAAATATACAATGAGAATATACGTGATCTGTTATCAGCAAATTTTTCAAAGACAGAGAGTGCTAATGGTGGAAAGCAGTATACTATAAAACATGATGCAAGTGGCAACACTCATGTGTCTGATCTAACCATTATAGATGTTTGCAGTAGCAAGGAGGTTTCATATCTTTTAGATCGTGCTGCACAAAGCAGGTATTCAACAATACATGCTCCTAGATCAACTGAATCCTTTAGAACCTTGACAGCATTCATGAAGAAACCTTGTTCATGTCTACATGCGTGATTGTCGGTGATTAACCCTCTTTTTTGCATGTCCAGCTTTTCCAAATATGTTGTAGACCCAACTTTTCCAATTAAACCAATATTTGTTGAATTTATCTGTCCTTGGCCCAATGAAATTGGGTCTTTTCTTACAGAAGGTTAACATAATGTCACTGATGTTGAAAATTGCTCGAGTTTAATATTTTATCATTTATAACTGTCTGTCGTCAATGAACACAACCCCAACCACCCTGCCCTACTGGGTTGTTCTATTTGAAGGTTTTATGTAAATGGGTTTAGGGGCATCAAATTTATTCCTTTTTTCCCCCCCTTTTTTGCAGGTCTGTAGGCAAGACCCAAATGAATGAAGAGTCTTCCAGAAGTCACTTTGTCTTCACAATGCGAATATCTGGTGTTAATGAGGTATAGATAATCTTTGGCCTAGCCACTCTTTCTACTTTGTTATTGTGATGTTGACATCTCTCTTGATACAAGTGTGCTCATTAAAGATCTTTACTCTATTTTGGTTTTCAGAGCACCGATCAGCAAGTACTAGGTGTCCTGAATCTTATTGACCTTGCTGGAAGTGAACGCCTCTCCAAAAGTGGATCTACTGGAGACCGGCTAAAAGAAACTCAAGTATGCGAATAGAACCATATGAATCATTTGTTTGTTTTCTTATGATGGTCTGTTCTAATCAGATAGTTTCTTTTGCTGTTATAGGCCATCAACAAGAGTTTATCCTCTTTAAGTGATGTTATATTTTCCTTGGCAAAGAAGGAGGAGCATGTACCATTTAGGAACTCAAAGCTTACTTATCTTCTCCAGGTAAATGCTTCAACTTAGTACAATCCAATGATCACATGTTGAATTTTGTTTTATTAGAAGGCTTCTCAGTTTGCTATGTTCTGGGGAAGTTTTGAGCGGTGTTTTTTTACCTAAACAAGCAAGTACCTCTTGTCTTAGTCACAAGCAAAAAGCCTATACATGACTCTCTTAGTGGGAAGTTACAAATCTTTGCTAAGGAAGTTGGGACTCTATGTTTGTTGCAGACTTGCAGTAGTGTTGCAATGTCTGATGGTCAAACACTTGAGAGAATCACACTCTCCAATAATGCATCTAGAACCCTAGACTGCACGCCCAAGACCGTTGAAGAATTAAAGCTTAGAACAAGAAGAAAAATTAGAACCAACACTCATATAGGAGAAAAACACAGGAACTTTTATTTCATAGTACTTCTCCTTTTCACTCTCTACAAGGATACACCCCATGACTCAAAACACTTCTAGAATTTATAGCACTCTCCTACCATGTACCTAGACAAGTATGCAACCTTAGATAATAAGTAGATTCATGAATGATCCTTAGACTCCATACATGAATATTACTAATGACTCTTGAACTTAACAAAAGACTCTTGAACTACATTCATGTACCAAACCATGTACATGAACTATGTGTGAAAACACTAAATTAAACTAATAAATTTAGCAAAACTTTCAACATTCCTCTTTGTGTTAACACGAGAAACCAAGCCCAAAAACTGTCGGAACTTTTGAAACTTTTCCTTTGGTAACGCCTTGGTGAAAATATCTGCCACCTGATCATTTGTATCCACCTTAATTAGATCAATCTCATCTTCAAGTACATTTTCTCGAATGAAATGGTAGTGGACTCCAATATGCTTGGTTCTCCCATGGAATATTGGATTTGAAGCCATTCAAATAGAACTCTTGTTATCACACAATAGCTGTACTGGCTTGTTTATTGGATGAAGAATTTATCCAATAAGCCTCTTCAACCAAACACATTCCTGAACTGCAAGTGTAGCAGTGTTATATTCTGCTTTTGTGCTTGACAATGCAATAGTTGTTTGTTTCTTTGCTACACCACGAAATAGCTGCAAATCCAAAACTAAACACAAACCCGGAAGTAGATCTTCTTGTTACAGAATCTTTGGCCCAATTAGCATCTGTGTAGCCTTTGAGACTAAGGTTAACATCTCTCTTATACACCAGACCAAAACTGATTGTGCCACTAAGATACCTAAGTATCCTATTAGCAGCCTCTTGATGGGATCTGTGCAGTTGTATCATGAACCGACTAATTATCCCAACTGAAAAAGAAATGTTGGGTCTAGTAATAGTCAGATATAGCAAACTTCCAACCAGCATCCGATAGTGTTACCCATCTTTCAATTATTTCCCTTCTTCAACCTTTAATTTCAAGTTTTGCTCCATTGGAGTAGCTGCTGGTCTACAATTTGTCATGCTAAATTTCTCCAAAATTTTCTTAACATAGTTTGCTTGAGAAAGAAAAATACATTCTTTATTCCTTGATACCTCCAATCCAAGAAAGATGTGAAGCTCCCCAAGATTCTTCATCTCAAACCGTATAGCAAGCTCCCTCCTAAGTCTTGTAACTTCTTGTTCATCATTACCCGTCACTATCATATCATCAACATATAACAAGACTAGAACATGCACAGATGAATTCTTTTTTAACAAAAAAACTAGCATCAGCACTTGAAAGCGAAATAATTGTACTAAAAGTTTCTTCATAGTCCAAGCCGTACTTTTGTGAAAATTCACGAGCCATAAGCCTGGCTTTATATCTGTCAACACCACCATCCGCTTTCTACTTTAGTTTATACACCCACTGTATTGAACATCACGAGGTTTATGAACTAAATCCCAAGTTTCATTTTTCAATAGAACAATCATCTCTTCTCCCATAGCGACTTCCCATTTTGAACTACCATGTGCTTCTTCGAAGGATGTTGGCTCACATTTATCAATTGGTCCCCTCAAAAAAACACTCACAAATATTACAGTTATCAATATCCAGATGATAGTTCTTGAATTTCTCAAGTTTCTTACGATCTCTTGTTGATCTGCGAAGTCCTAAATCCTTTTGAACAGACTCGAATTTTCTAACCTCTTTGGTGATTCATCAAGAACAAACGAAGAAATCACATTTTCAGAAGAATTTTGTTCATCTTCTCTTCCATCACTTTGGAGTGGAATTATGACATGTGGCATGTAGAAAGACAAGATCTCATCAAAGACAACATCTCTCGATGTAACAACCTTGTGTGTTTCTGGATCCATACATAGCCAACCTTTTCTGCTCAGATCATATCCCACAAACACACACTTTGTAGCCTTTGCATCCATCTTGGTTCTGCATTTATCCTGAATATGAACATAACATACTGGACCAAAAACTCTAAAATAAGCAACTGAAGCCTTATATTGTATAACAACTCAAATGGTGTTCTAATGTTAATCACCCTTGACTGAACCCAATTAACCATATGACAAGCACATTGCATAGCTTTAGCCCACAATTCCTATGGTAAATTCTTGGCATGAAGCCAGCTTCGACTGACTTCTTGTAAGTATTTCAACTTTCTCTTTGTAACTCCATTTTATTGTGATGTTCCAGTACATGTCATTTGCCTTCTTATGTCATGCTCCTCGCAGAAATCAATAAATTAATTGGTGATATACTCAGTTCTATTATCAGTTCTAAAATAACCGATTCTACTTTGGAACTCTGCCTCAACGATTCTTTTGAACCTCTTGAAATATGCAAATGTCTCAGACTTTGCTCTCATGAAATACACCCAAGTGAACCTGGATTAATCATCGACAAGAACTAGCATATAATAAAAACCATTATAACTTGCTGTAGGACACATCAGCAAATTAGAATGAATTAGTTCCAAAGACTTCTTGGACTTTATTGAAGACTTCCCGAAAGGTAAATGATGAGCCTTCCCATATTGGCAACCCTCACAAACAATGCCCTGATGAAAATTTCCTAAATTTGGAATCCCATCAACCAGGTTATTTGCAGAAATTTCCTTTAACTTCTCATAACCAACATGTGCCAATCGAGTTTGCCACAGAATTGCTTTATCTTGTTTGCTAGTTTTCTCAACGTAAACATCATTAGCTGACAAGACATAAAGGGACTTCTTTCTTTCTAACAAAATATCAGCCTCCAGATTTCGAATGTTGGACAAGACTTTAACATTATCTAGAGCAAATAGAACATATTTCCTAGAATTAGAAATTTGAGAAACAGAAATGAGATTTTTAGTCATACTGGGAATATGGTAGACATTGTTGAGAGTAACACAAGCATAATTCGATGCATTAACTTTGACCATGCCTTCATTTTTTACTGGGTGAATGGAGTTGTCAACCGTCACAATTGCATCCTGCCTCTTATATTCCTGCAAACTTGAAAACAAGGAATCATCTCTCGTTAAGTGGTGGGAATAACCATAATCGATTATCTAGTCCTTCTTGTAATCAATACTCGTACTTGCAGTGGAAAAAATCAGTACCGGTTCTCTTGACATCTTTCTTATATCCAGAACTTCAGTGGATAAACAATATCCCATTCGCGGTTTCTAGAAGGCTCCCCACTTCTATTCTTGGAAGTGCCAACATTGCCCTCAACCATTACTGTCTTGCAATATTTCTTAATATGCACAGGTTTACCACACCTATAACAATCAATAACCTTCTTGAATCCGCCTTGAGAACCACCTCCTTGATTTTTCCTTTCTTGATCTTTTTGAGTTTTGACCTTCCAATTTGTGTTTTGCTCCCCCGAATTTTTCTTCTTCGAACTGTTGCCTTGCTGCTGATTGTTCTTCCAATTGTTGCCTTGCTGTTGATTGTTCTTTCAACTGTGGTTTTGCTGCTGGCTGTTTTTCCAATTATTTCCTGCAAATAATGCCTCATCTTTTCTAGAAATTGACGCACTCGCCATTTGCTTGGTTAAAGCCTCTTGATTAACAAGCAAATTTTCCAACTCAATAGTACTAGGCTGTGTTGCCCAACGTTGAATGGATGTCAAGAAAGGCATGTACTCCATTCTTATCCCTTGAATAAGATATCTGCAATCTAGCTTCACTAATAGGCTCCTCTTTGTCAATCACTGAAATTTCAGAACATATGCTCTTTATTTTTTGAAAATATTGAGCAACAGACATGTTACCTTGGGTAGTGTTGGCTAACTCATTCTCAAGCATTTGAAGTCTAGCCGTGTGCCTCTTTGTAAAGAGTTGTTCCAACAACTTCCAAATCTCATTTGGCTTCTCCTTGGCTCGAATATGTTCAATCAACTCTTAGAAATGGAACCATGTAAGGCAAACAACGTCTTTCCACATTTTATCTTCCATTTTCTTCGAGCTTCAGCATTCTCTGGTGTATCTGTAGGCGTTTCAAAGTCACCTCCGTTGATTATATCCCACAAAATCTTGTCCTTGAAGATAAGCCTTCATGCAAGGCTTCCAATACTGGTAATTGAAGTTATTCAACTTCTCCACACCAAACTGGTTTAAAGAACCACCATTGACGTCCATCAAGGCAATGAACTAATCAACAAAAATATACTTCTTCTGTCCTACCTTCACAGTACTTGCACCGAGTCCTTAACACTGCTCTGATTACAACTTGAGAGAATCACTCTCCAATAATGCAGCTAGAACCCTAGACTGCATGCCCAAGATTATTGAAGAATTAAAGCTTAGAACAAGAACAATTAGAACCAACACTCATATAGGAGAAAAACACAGGAACTTTTACTCTCTACAAGGATACACCCCATGACTCAAAGAATTTATAGGACTCTCCTATCATGTGCCTAGACAAGTATGCAATCCTAGATAATAAGTAGATTCATGAAAGACCCTTAGACTCCATACATGAATATTATTAATGACTCTTGAACTTAACAAAAGACACTTGAACTACATTCATGTACCAAATCATGTACATGAACCCTGTGTGAAAACACTAAATTAAACTAATAAAGTTAGCACAACTTTCAACACAAACCTTGCAGTTCTGCATGAGAACAACTTCACATAATTTTTGTATATAGGAGTCTCCCTTGGTCATAGTTTTGTAGCAGAAGCGTTGGGTGAATTTAGAGATTGGGATATTTGTTGATGGGCCTAGTTAACAGGAATGATTTTGAATGTGTGTTTTAATTACCATCATATGTGACTTTAATATTGTAAAACCTTCTGCAAGCATGTTCTTTTTAATGTACTTGTGTTGTGCTATGGGATGCCTTCTGATCAAGGATTGGCTTAATCAGCCTTGCCTAGGTGGGGACTCGAAGACTTTGATGTTCGTGAATCTTTCCCCAGATCCTACTTCTGTTGGCGAGTCTCTTTGCTCACTTCGGTTTGCAGCAAGGGTTAATGCTTGTGAGATTGGGGTTCCCCGGCGTCAAACCAGTATGCGGTCTTCAGATTCTCGGTTGAGCATAGGCTGATTTTTGACAGAATAACCATTTTAATTTTACTCTACAGAATCATTCATGCGATCTGTATTTGTGTGGCCTTGATTGTTAACTGAGATTATAAGCATTTCTAACATCTTCCGCCTGTAATTTGTATAGAGAGAATACTGGCTTGTATCAGTAATAACTGAGGGGGGTTTCTTCCTTTTGAATCATTGAATTTGTATTTATGAAGGTATCTCTGGAAATTGATATTGTAACAAATCTTTCCTACAAAATTGTGTTTAGTTGTCTCAGTAATCACAGCAATGAATCATTACTGCCCCATTGATCAATGCTAGGCACTCGGATACATTTCAACCTCAGAATGCTCCTCCATTCATACCTAAATGGATACACAGTAATGAGGTATTTGATTTTAATTGAACCAATGAAACAATCTACCTGAGACTCTTGAAAGGTTGTATAGCTTTGCCATGCTAAACATTTCTTACCTACTCACCCAATTGCTCTGTTGGAGTGGAAGAATTGATATAGTTCAGGGTCCCATGACATCTCTTGGATGTATGTTTAAGGCCATTCATTCCCAATCTCTTTTGTCTATAATAATTAGGTTCGAATTCTCTGTTTACTGTTATTTCAAAATGATGTCTTTTTACACAAAAAAATATCTTTTGAGGAATAGTAACTGTGGCTATAATAATTACCCATATTGAAAGTGCACGAGGCAGCGTGCTTGTAACTCCCATACACATATGCCTAAATTGCAACTGGGACTGACTAGAATAAGGGATAAGGTTATTAAGAAATACCTAAGTCCCTTATTTTTCTCTATTTAAATCATTCACCATTGACTATGGAATTCCCAAATAAGAATCAGGACCTAGAATTTTATGGTTGGTATATATTTTTTAAAATTTTTTTGAGCGCCGTGATCGGGTGATTGAAATGGAGAAAAACACACAATTTTATTTAGTATTTTATTATTAATTAGTGATATCACGTGTTAACGATAATGTTATTTCACCATTACACCCGATATTTACTCCCTACGTAAAACCCTATACTTAAACTAGGACTTAAAGTCCAAATGACGGTTATAAGTGGTGCTAAAATATGATAGGACTTATTAATATGAGATGAAATTAAAAAATTTAAATCTTCTTTAAGCGAATTGTTTTGTAAATGAGTGGATATACACAAATTGAATATATTAGTTATACATAGAGGTATCAACTGTGTCGATTTAAATAATTACGAGTCAGATCTAATTAAGTTTGTGGAAAATCAATAAATTCGTACATGATTCGTTTAAGTAAATGGTGGAAATCTTTAAAACGAACACGATTCGTTTAACGCGTTTAATAAACGAATTGTGTTGGATGGGGTCGTGTTAACATGAAAATTCTTTTAATTTGCCACACCATATGACTTGTTTACTTGAATATCGTCTGAAAATTTATTATTAAACTTTTTTTAAAAAAAATATATAATTAATAATTACATATATTATTTTAGATAATTTTTTTAAATAATTATTAATTTATTATTATATTAATTTTAGTTAAATGGTGAAAACAGTTGACATGTTTTATTCTAATATGAACCGTTTATTAATCGGATTAGAGAGTTAGATATGACTTCACACAAACTCACTTATCTACGTTTTGATTTGTATCAATTAATTATGTCATATTAAATTCTGCTGACTAACATGTGACTTGGATAAATTAATATATTCGTCTTGTGAAAAATCTTTTATTCATGGACTAAAAAATCTTTGTTTTATTTGATTTTGAGAAAAAAAAAAAAACAAATGCCCCCTCAAAAAAAAATTACTAATAAGAATTTGAGAGATATTATGAGATAGTAACATTCGGTGACATTCTTCGGGCGGAATCTATAATAAAAAATATGACAGTTTTTAATAAGTTTATTTCGCGGTCTCAAATAAACTCATTCAACGATGACTAATATTTTACTCAAAATCATTTAAATTATACCGTATTTTTAAACACGAGTTACCCTAATAATTTAATAAATCTAAAAGGATTGAATTGACAATCAGTTAAAATTTTAAAAATCTAATTATTATAATTAAAATCAAATAAAAATTAAGTGAATTGTAAATTACATTTATGAGTTTTTTTTACGGCACAAACTCGTTAATATCCGATACGTTTAATTAGCGGTTGGACGGTAACGCGTAATTTTTTTTATTTTTATCATTTTTGCCATGAGGTAACGTGCAACATAGTGCGTTTGTGGGGTACCCCCGAAGGCGTGCGAAATAGAATCTCTGTCTCGCTCTGTCTATCGGCGGTCCGACAAAATAAAGAAAAGCCCCACATTTTCTCTCTCCACCAAACGGAGAAACCCTCAATTTTAATTTCCTATCAGCAAATTTTCTCCGGAAAAGTCTTTGATTTTCCGGGAATTGATCGGAAATGGTTACGCCGGAAAACACCAATTGGCTTTTCGACTATGGAGTGATCGAAGATATCAGTGTTCCTGACGGGAATTTCTCTGTTCCAGCTTCTGGGTTCAGCTGGCCCATGCAGGCCTTGGACCAGCCATCCAATGTTAGGTAAGGGGATTTCGTAAAGCAATTCAGTTTTTTGGGGTTTAATTGAATTGAGCCTAGATCATCTGAAAAACCTAGGGCTTTAGATTGTATTTTTGATACCTTATCAGGTTTGCGAGTTCTGTGAATTTAGGGTTTTTCTTTGAATCCCTTATGATACATAATTCATTTTATACTTTCGTAAACTATTACTAATTGGGGAGAAATTCAGGGATATATTTCTTGTGTTTTTTGGTTTATTTATTTATGCTATTTTGGTACTGTAGATGTTTAATGTCGTTATTTTGCAAATGCAAAGGAGTGTGCACTAGTGTTTAAATTTTGTTTTGTTGTTCTATTTGTCAATTGTGTAGGTTTTGGTAGTTGACTTCGTTGAAATTAGTGGGGAGCATAGTTATCAAATCGGGATTTGTATCAGAAATCAAAATCCTAGATTTGAGAATCGGGAAGAGAATAAATTATAGTATTCTCTGAGGTTCTTCTTTTTGTCTAGCAAAGCCCAGTTTTTGCGAAATTTTCTTCTTTTATTCTTTATCTGGGCTGAAATTAGCACAATCACTAGAATGCTGAAGGTGCACGTATTATCCAATTGATGAGCTGCAAAATCAAAGAGGGGTTAGAGGGACTCCAACGTTGAGCCAGGGGAGGCCTTTTCGATGCCTAGGTTAATACATCAATAGGCTAATGTGTAAAATTAGGAAAATAATATAAGTGTGTGTGTTGAGTATGGAGCCGAGGTGCTTATACTTGAGGCCTCCCTACCTTTGGATCTTCACCCATCTTTATAGAGGTGTTGGAGAGAGTTGACACCTTCTTGAGATGTGTATCTTTGCAGGTCTTGAAAATTATGCCGGACTTCAATTGGTAAATAAAGAAGGCTGACACCTTTGTCATGGGAAGATAAACCATGGGTCTCATTATGATACACTCATGTGATGCGGGGCCCTCTCCATTGATACAAAATATGGTCCATCAACTGCCCCTGTTTTTATTACCTTCGTAATACTGGAAGGGAATGAAAGTTACGAAGAATATTCATGCTGTCTTTGATAAGATATAGCTTATGATAGATATGTCGAGGTCCACCATATGTCATCGAAGTGATCATGAAGTCCGAATCAAATAGATAATAACATGCATATAGTCCTAATGCATTTTTCATTCCTAACAGAATACCAAGATCAATATATGGATTGCTCGAAGATTCTATAATCAACGAGTGATAATTTCTATAATCAGAATATTGCGCCTATCAGATATCGTAACTGATACTTTCATGCCTGATCAGAAGGATAAGGGCATAACCGTGGTGGGCCCAACTAATAACAATGAATATATAAGAAATCCCTCACGGCGAGTAATAATGAGGTGCCTCATTGGAAGACAAAATAATGGAATACCAAGCATAACCATTAGATGTTGTCAGAGAGATCCGAGCATTATTGAAATGCCTCATTAATGGGATGGATAACAGAACACCATATATAACCATAAGATGTCGATGGAGAGAGTCGAGTCCTGAATAGGACACCCATAATTGAACCTCAATCGCATCCAAAGCTAATAATATTTGAATCCTGAGAATGACAATAACTAAATTCCAACAAAGGATTGTCAAGAGTTGTCCGAGGAAGACCCATCCACTGACTCTTAGGAATGGCCCAAATAAATTTGTCTACTTAGAGAAAAATTGAGTGAACTTGGACCATTGAGGTCATAAGAGAAGGTCCGAACATATATGTCCCTTGGCCTCGATAATCTCGAGCTGGCGATGAACTCGACAATAAGTCTTGTCTTTTTCTGTCATGTTCAAGTAATATTTAAATAAAAGCATACCTTATGAAATCGAGTCTTGAACGTATTAAGTCCGTGATTGGACGATTCAAGGTTCTCCCAGATTTTGCTTGCGAGAATATTTATATCTGACCTCCAGAGTCTCGTGTCACCTCCTTAAATAAGGAGTATTCCCAAGTTCAAGATATTGAACCCGTCCCCGAGAGGTTTTATGCCTACATTAGACTTTTTGTGCTTTGGCCAGGTAAAGGCTAGTGCCTAATCACATAGGGCTGTGGGTGTTTTGGCCATGCAAAGATTTACCCATGTTCGAGGTCTAACCCTGAGTCTCATGTTATCTCCCTAAATAAGGAGTACTCCCGAGTCCAAGTTTTTAAACCTGTCCTCGAGAAGTTTGATGCCTACATTAGGAATTTTGGTGCTTTGGCCGAGCAAAAGCTTATCCATTTTTAGAGCCCAGAGCCCACTGAGTGTCTTGTACACAAAGACCTTCCTCCCACTACTTGAGATTTCACCAAAATAGTGATAAAAGAATTTTTGTTTAGCCCAAGCCTTGTCAATTCATGTGTGCTTATTCTTGCTCCCCCACTGGATTTAATTGGAGATGATGCCGATTAGTTTCTTTGCTAAGATTGAGCATTGATTTCATTCAAAGATGCCGAACAGTTGCAATGTCTCTCTATTGTGTATGTCATAAGTTCTCTAGGTACTGACGGATGTTATTGATTGAGTCCTCTGGGGTGATAGACTGATCATCTTTAGCACTTGATGGATTAACCAACCGGGGATTGACAGGCTGATAGCTCTTGTGTGAGGCCGATCGTCTTCCAAGTGCCTGACGTTATACCGACTAAGTAATTAGGTAGTAGATTCAATTTACTTAAATGTGGGCTCAGAGATATCATAGAAGGAGATAGAAGAAGCTTCGTCTTCTGGGAGTGATATTCAGTGGTAACAACCACTTTTTTGATAATGCCGACAAGAGGAATTTCTTCTTAATATAATAACCATTGACTATACAGGTCATGGCCATGTTCTTTGAGTGCTAAGGGGAACCCTTCATACAGAGCATATGTTTGGGGATAGACCGATTATTCTTCGGCCTTTGTTGACGAAATTGCCCCCTCGGGATAGGTTGCCATCACCTAGCCGAGGTGAAAGACCACCATGAAAGCTTGTTTTCCTGGATTCGAACCCATCAATTGGGAAATATTTCCCCTTGAGCCATAAGCGGTGAACCGATGCTATAATAGTAGCTTGCCCGATATTTTCACACCCATCGATTGTGAAGAGGAAATGGGCTTCGCCCAAGTTTGACAAAATTTGGTTGGGCGCATCAAGAAAAGAGAGAGACAAGCAAGATGGTTGCGAGGACTTATTGCTATGTGCTTATTCGAAGATGCTGAATAATTTCCATGAGTTTCATTAATAGCACCGACTGAGAACTCCCAAATGCATTAGGCCTGCAAGATTACACTAGGGCCAAGGAGGGTACCATCATGGGCGAGCTGTGGTGTTCGAACACATACCCAAACGAAAATCTACTTGGGGTGGCTGTTATTCCTATCAGTCTTTGATGAAAAGAATGATAATCCGAAAGAAGGGATCACAAAATGATTTCTTGGACTAATCTGGGTGAGGACCGACCGACCATCAGTGCCGATGGATGAGACTGAGTACCTCGGTAGGACAAATCATTCACATTGCACCATCTATCACTTGCTTGACTTAAATAGTCCAAGAGAATCCTTGAGACCGAGGACAAACCATAACCTGTTGCTTGATGTGAAGCTGAGCACCACTTGAAGAGAGTTTTGTTCAACTGATAGCAAGGTCGAAATAGTGTCGCTAGTTGCAGAGAGACATTCAAGAGAGGAGACCGAGCAAGGTCTCTTGTCCGGAGGCAGTGCTGAATACCACTTGATGGGCTGACCACCCAAAATATTTTGGGTTTAGATAATGTTTAGAACTATAGTTGAGGTCGACTACCTGAGAGGCCTTGCTCCAAGAACACGTGGCTTTGGGACATATCCCCTGGTATGAGCAGTCCCCTGATGCCTTGCCAAAATAAGGGGACTTTTGTGGCCAAGATGCCTTGATGATGCCGAGAAGTTAGTTGCTACAAAGTGAGCCCTCTGACAACTTTAGACTCGGGCTGTGCTAGCTTCCAGTTAGCTTTGGATTGGTACACCGTCCATTCATATTAACTGAAGAGTATAAATCCGCGGTGTGTTGATCACAGTGGGTGAGTAATCTACAACGTTTGAGTGGTTTACAACAGTATCCGAGAAGTGAGACCGAGCTCCGACACCTATCACCTGTGGATGATAGGCCGAGCAAGGTCTCCAGCCCATAGGCGAGACAGAGCTTCAATTGAAGATGGACAGATTATTTTAAGTGCCGAGCATGTTCCTTCGACAGATAGTGCCATAATCTCTTTGTTCAGTGCCCTCCCAGCATAATTCGGAAAGCTCGAGTTTCATAGTTTGTCAGCGATGGAGAGCTGAACACTGTAAAGCTTCATTCATGATGGTAGTCTTGTTCAGAATATGCTTGGGCTTATGCCGAACATGGGCTGCCTGCGTATGCCGAGTTTACATATTTTGAACTCTATTGTGACCGAGAGACTGCTTGCAGCTGTTGTGAGCAGAGGTAGGTCTGCATCTTGATGACTCAAAGTGGCAATGCCGAGCCCCAATGATCTATGGAGGGGTGCACCGACAGTCCACAAGGTTTGTGTGTATATATATATATATATTTTTTTTTTTTTTGTGGCTGTGATGCTGATTGACACACTTCATGATAGTACCAAAGAGTCCCGAGCTTCATTAACATCAAAATAATACTGATATGCCGATCCCCGTGACCTTTCGATACATTGATACCGAGGACCTAGGCCATTGTTCTCGTCACTTTGGGTCAAGTAAAGACCGAGTGTAATTTTGCTGTGGGGTGGCTAGTTTGCCCCCGAGATGATACACGGACCATTCTCCGAATGATAGAAAGACAATTTGATGAGAGCCCGAAGGCAGATTTTGACATTGGCCTTGTTCATGCCATTGTTGAGTCCTAATAAGTGTGTCAGGAGCCCTTAATACTGCCCAGGCGCACCAAGGTTGTTGGGTCTTTCGTCGAGATTGTTCTGAACGACTTTTGGGAGCAATCGGTCTTCCTTGATGGTGTAGAGGGCCCCTGAATTTTACATGACGGTGAGATGTATCACCATCTCGTAAGTTGTGTTAGCCAGCCACCCTTAGATCATATTGATAGTGGGGAAATGTAGACCAGTCCGAGTTCAATACTCAAAGAGGTTGCCTGCAATACTAGAAAAGCAGAGACAATTGTGCTAAGAAAACTTCATTTTTTGTTACTGATAAAATGTCATGATTTTACCCCGTGTGCTCGTGCTTGCATGCATAAGTTTGTTAGGTGAACAAGTGTAGCTCCTATCAACTGATACTAGAGCAAAATGTGGCAGTCATACTAGCCTTTGCTAGTGGTAAAGCTTTACTTGACCAACTGAAGTGGTTCACTCAAAGAGAAGTGAGCATAGACTTATTTTTAACTTAAGCTTATGTAGTTTTACTTAGAGAATCTTGAGCTTGAATCGGCATCTAAAGTGGGACCGAGCAAGATTATTTTTTGTGGGTTTGCATTTGACTCGTGCTGGTAGCCGTGGGGGAGAGAGACACCACTCGGCTCATTTCAAAAATCAAAGGAAATGATAAAAAAAAACTTTGAGTAGATGGCCCATATGCTTTGTGGTAGTGTTTAGGAGTTCAATCACGGGGCAGCTACAACAATTACGTGAAGGCGCACATTACTCGAACTCACTACGACATATATAGGCATACCCTTATGGACAAGTAATAGAGGGTTCTCATATGCATCACATGGTGACGGGCAAAGTATTATTGATCTTGGGCGAAATAAGTGAGGAGAGCACTTATCTTTGCATTCGCCAAGTTCAGTGCACAGAGATTTGAAATAAGGAGGTGTCCCAAATTCCATCGGAATAATAACAATGACATGTCGGAGCTCCATGAGTTGAACAAATATAGGGACCAAGCCAAGCGAGTGTCTAAATACGAAGTGCTTTGCCATAGTCGAACATTTTCTAGATCTTAGGACCTTTTGATACATTGATTTCGGGGAAGTAAGTGGTCATTCTCGTTGGCTTGGTGACACGATTGAAGGCCCGCTATGGTGCAAACTTCCTTCTTGAATCTAGGGGAATTAGGGGCCCGAGTGAACTTTGGATGTGGAATCCATAAGTGCACAATGGAAGGCTTCACTACTCAGGTGCATTGTGATAATCTTTAGTCATAAAAGAAGCTAGATCCCACATGAGCTGAACTAGTAATGACCAGTAGATATCAACAAAGGCATGTCAACAAAATGTAGATTAGGTGAAGTAGAGACCGAGGGGTTTCTAGCAGAATAATTAGCAAGAGAGGCCGAAAATGCCTCAGGTGGTCTATGCTGAGACTGTGCATTATTTTACTGGTAGAGATGACAGAACTTTGGTAGAAGAACATTACTCACAAAAGCCCAAATACTGGTACTAAAAAAATGGCGTGTAGGGAAATGTCAAACAAAGGACCATTAACATAAAACTCACAAGACTCTATGAAAGAAGATTTTTGGTCAGTAGGTTCACTGAAGACATATAGTGGGACCTTGCAAAAGTATTGTAGTGTTTTCACTTTTGAGTTTGAAAGGCAGACCGATCGAGTGCTGCATCCTGTCTATATGAACGATCGAAGAGTTCGGCAAGATCCAATAGAACAAGGCACTTTAGCTGCTTCAAGGGTCGAGCAGGTCTCGCGAACTGAATGATGCGAAGATTTTGAGGGCACACTTACTTGTTTCCCATAGACGGTGCTAAATTGTGCAGGCAGAAATTCGCACAATCACTAGAATGCTGAAGTTGTTCCCCTAATCTTTGAGTATCATCCAATCCATGAGGTGCAAAATGAAAGAGGGGTTAGAGTGACCCCGACGTTGAGCCAGGGGAAGCTCCTTTGATGCCTAAGTCAGTACTGCAATTAATACATCAATAGGCTAATGTGTAAAATCAGGAAAATAATATAAGTGTGTGTGTTGAGTATGGAGCCGAGGTGCTCATACTTGAGGCCTCCCTACCTTTGGGTCTTCACCCGTCTTTATAGAGGTGGTGGAGAGCTACTTACCGTCTCCTTGAGTTGACACCTTCTTGAGATTTGTATCTTTGCAGGTCTTGAAATTGTGCTGGATTTCAATTGGTAAATAAAGAAGGCTGGCAGCTTTGTCTTGGGAAGATAAACCATGGGTCTCATTATGATACACCCATGTGGTGTGGGGCCCTCTCCATTGATACAAAATATGGTCCATCATTCTGGCAAAGCCTAGTTCTTTTATTGTAGTTTTCATAATTTCCGGAAAAATGGTACCTTTTGAAATTTATGGGCTTGTTAGTGTTTATTATGACAGTAACCATACTAATGTCCTCCAGGAAAGAAATTCATTTCAATAAGAAGGGATTTCGTGTGAAATATTCGAACATGCCTTGGTGGCTTACTTCTTTTTGTGTATTCCTTTAATGAGTTCTAACTTACCACCATGGTTACCACTGGTTTTCTGAGCTTGTTTCTGTAGGAAATTGATGCTCTATATTGGTTTTGAAAGGCCGATACGAAAGAAAAGAATCTGAGTTCTTAACTTTTTATATGGATTTATGGAACGTGCATGTATTTACATAAAACTCACCCTGGGTCTGGAGTTTTCCTTTGCCTTCCAAGGCTTTTGATGCAGGGATTGAGTAGTGGAGTATATAGTAAATAATACCATAGAATAACTTAAGATACTTCAAGGTTTCTGGTTAATTTTTGAAAAAGAATGAAAGTAGAATCACAGAATCTTAGATTTGTGTAGGGAGCATACATTTTTAGAAATAGGACAAGGAATTTTATTTAGTACTCTATCTCAATTAATTTGGGACTAGGCAGCACGGCAATATTTGCACAGAATGCTATTTGTTGATCATGAAAAGCTGAGGTTGAAGAAAAAAGGAAATAGTTGGAAGATGCAAGTAATTGAACTCATCAAATGAATAGGCATATAGATTGTGCGCTGGAGTTCTCAGCTTAGGCATCAGGTGAAAACTTCAACCTGAAAGGTCCTTATTTCACGGTGTTAGTGAAACGACTCCCTTATTGCTATTGGAAATGTTGTTAGAAACGATTGCATAATGTTAACTGCATGGTGGAAAAATTTCGGTGAACTGTTGAAGTTTATTGGATTATTGGGGGTTCCAAAATCGGCAAAAGTTGTCTTTTAGTTATTATGCTGCAAAGCAGAAGATATGAATAATTATTTAGTTTTCTTCCACATATTTTATTGCTTGAGATTGGTTTTAAGAGGATACATCTTATCACGCAGGAAAAGTGGAAACACATGCTGGGCTTTTCAAGCATAATTAGAGTTCTACTTCATGCCTTTCTTTTCTGTCTTAAGCAAATTGTTATTCTTTTTTTTTGTTCTTACCTCTTCTCTTTGTAATCTAACATGTTTGTAGTGTGGATATTGATGGCTCACTTGGGGATTCAGATGGTCTGAAGGAAACTGGCTCAAAAAAGCGGTAAACAATTCATTTCTACCTGTCGTTTGATTTTTGTGTGCACTCAAAGTGGTTTAGTACATGGGTGAAACCTCAGGTAAATATGTTGGTGATGTGAGGACTTAATTACAAGCGACGTGGATGTAAGAGTATCATCAATTTGCATGTATACTTGCTAGCCCTGGTTGCTTGACATCTCAAGGGACAGAGACAGTGGGCCACCAGGAATGACCGAGTGGCATGTACACTTTTTTATGGTATTAGAGGCTTGTGTTTAAGGGTGAATTTCACTGCAGCACTTATAATAAGATGGTATACCAGGAAAAAGAGTCCTACAGTTATTAAAAACGAATAATCACAGCAGCTATAGTTTCCTCAATCCTCAGTAATGCCTGACTCAAGTTGCAAGTTGCAAGTTGCACTTACATTACCTTTTAAAGTTATATTAACTTCAAGGCATCTTTTTTTTTTTTTTGATGATATCCAAGATCTAGCTGGATTATTTTGCAGATTTTCCAACTTTACACTTGGATCAAGAACACATTGGAACTGTTTTGTTTTAGACTATATGAAGTAGTGAAGCTATCATTGGATGCAATTCATATCAGAAATGCCAGTAGTGAAAGGAATCTCAAACCCTACTTACCCTCTTTCCACTTGCCTGTTTGGATTCTTATTGCAGACAAAGATCTGAATTATGCAGCGGATCAAGTTCCAAAGCTTGCAGGGAGAAGATGCGGAGAGATAAGCTAAATGACAAGTGTGCTCTTGTTCTCTTCTCCCCCTCTCTCCCCCTCTCTATCTCTCTCTCAGCCAATTTGTCATGCTTTCTAGGTTTGTGGAATTGGCTTTTCTCCTTGAGCCTGGTAGGCCTCCCAAAACAGACAAAGCTGCTATTTTGGTTGATGCTGCTCATATGGTGACTCAGTTGAGGGGTGAAACCCAGAAGCTGAAGGACTCAAATTCGAATCTCCAGGAGAAGATTAAAGAACTGAAGGTAAGCATGTGTAGATTTTTCTGATACATATTTAAAAGGATAGAGCATTGCCTACTTTTGTGATCTATACACCTTGTACTTATGTAGGCCGAGAAGAATGAGCTCCGGGACGAAAAACAGAGGCTGAAGGCCGAGAAAGAGAAGCTAGAGCAACAACTAAAAGCCATGAATGCCCAACCTAGCTTCCTTCCCCCTCCTGCCATCCCTGCTGCATTTGCTGCTCAGGGCCAAGCTGCAGGCAACAAATTGGTGCCTATTATTAGCTACCCAGGAGTGGCCATGTGGCAGTTCATGCCACCTGCTGCTGTTGATACTTCACAGGATCATGTGCTTCGCCCACCAGTCGCCTAACGAGGCAGCCCAAGCTTACAATGGGTGTGGTCCTATTGTTCATTTAGTTTTTCACTGTGTGACTTTGTTAGTTTTTGATCATTTAACTGGATTTGGAAAGACATTTGCTATCTCAAAGCTTTAAATGAGTTGATGCTGGTGTTCACTTGTAAATGTCAATAAGTAAACCAGGCAGCTCTTGTTTTTATGACTGTTTGATGGGAATTTTTCGGCATTCCCAACACACACACAAAAAAACCCCAACCCCGAACATATTGTTCATACCAGATGATAATAATTCGACTAGCTCCTGTTTTGAGTTGAATTTATACAAATTAAATATGAATTTGGTTTATATATAATTTAGATCATATTATAATTGTACTAAAATATATTGAGAAATTCATATTTAAATCGGATAATTGGTCAAAATTTCATGAAAATTCATATTGGTTAACCAATTTAGATTCGGATTAAAATACAAACTATTCACGGGCCTACATTTTACCCGCTTTATAGTATATGGTATTGCTGGGGATGTGAGGCTGCTAATCTCCCCTCATCCACTTCCACCTTCCCTGTTCCTCTCACTTCAACTACTACTACCTCTTCTGCTCAAAAATGGCTTTCATTTCCATCAAACTCCATTTACATACCCTTCAAACGTCAAAACCTCCATCCCTATTCCCGCCAACTGAAACTCCCAACCCATCTTTTCCATTCCCTACAAAACAGAAGAATCGCCAGTCTCATCTCTTTATCTTCCATCCAAACCCTCTGCACAAAGCAAAAGTCTTCGTTTTTCCCTCAAATGTTCTCTCTCTTCTCCTACCCCACCCACCTCCAAAGAAGAAGCCATCCTTCAAGCCAAGACCTCCCTCTCAACCACCTTAGAGAAGCCACTCAACAACCCCAAACTCGCCGGAAAACTCAAGAAACTGAAGCAGCCCAGGTTCCGGGTCGAAATCCCAGTCATCGATGACTCACCGGGTTCACTCTCTCAGCTCGCTCTCGACGTCTTTGGAGACATACCCATCAAAAGAAAAGGCTTACCAGTCAAGATTTTAGTCCTCTGGCCCAACCCCAACTTAACAGAAGCTGCCATTATGGCATTTGACTCTCTCTCTTCAAACACGGTTGAACATAATGATTTTTCGTCAGTTACCAATGAGGACACCAGATTTTTGAATTCTGCTGATGTGGTAGTGTTTTTGGCGCCTGAAGCTTCTCAGTTGGCAGTTATGAAAACCGTTACTGACAGTTTATATCCAAAGCCAGTGGTAATTTTCAACCCCCAATGGGGATTTGAGGAGGAGAGCAGTTTTGGTGAGTTGAGAGGCTTTGTGGGCTCATTTGAGGTGGTGTATTCATTTGTGGGGTTGGAGGTTAGAGGGGTTTTGAGTAAGAGAAAAGGTATGATCTTCAAATGTGTTAGAGATGGGGTTTGAGTGGTGAGGGGTGGAGTGTGTTGGTTGAAGAAGGAGGAGAGTTGAAAGTGGCTTCAAGGTTCAAGGAGCGGCCATCGATCACTGAAGTTGAGAATGTTTTATATAACTTAATGGCAATTAATTCGCCAATTACCAAGTCTGCAAAGTTTTTAAGGAAACTGGTGTCAAATGTAAC